GGATGGAGAAAAAAAGTGGCTGACATTTTTGAGCTTCATTAACTGTAAAAGACATTCCAAAATTGTGAGTTTCCAAGACAATCTTCTTTTTTTTTTTTTTTTTTTCATTTTATGAAGCTCTGAAACATCCTTCTACCTTCTATCAATAGTTTAAAAATTAATTGAACAAAAATTTTCAGTCTTCCTTTAAACAACTATTCCCAGTAAGAACTAACAGCATACATCCTGTTTTCAGCATCCGCAGATATTTTTCATGGATTTTACAGACTGTGTAAAACGTTCACAGAATTGAGTTTCTGGACTTACTACTTCAGAGTCTGCCAAGCAGCAAGGACAGCCTGTGTATTATATAAGATTCATGGTGGCAACTATAACATTTAATGTCTGCAGGCAGAAATTTTGAATGAGGCTACAGAATTTTAAAACACAAAGTGAGCAAAGAACTTTGCAACAACTGATTTACTAATTCATAATAAACTAAATTTTGAAGTGTATATTGCTGCTTTTTAAAAAATGTATTTCCCTGGGCTTATCATTTCATGAACTATTGTCAGGATTTTAAGATTTAAATTTTTAGTGCATTGGTGTAAAAATTTACTGCATGGACCAAATTCATCAATAAGTATTCTTAGTCCCTACAAGAATCATATGCAACTCTTGAGGCTACTTAGGAAATATGACAGTAAATACCAAGACTATATGATACTGGAGAAGGTAAGCTTAATGCTCAGGGGCAAAAAAAAAAAAAAAAAAAAAGTCTTGGCCAGCTTTAAAGACATGGGGGTCTAAAAATTTAATTGGAATTTTTGCTCTTTCATATTCAGAAATAAGTAAACAAAGCATCTTTCCTCTAGGAAGATGCAAACCAACTATACCTGGTTGTTCCAAAAAAATATAATGCAAATCTCTTGAAAATAAAATTTATTTTTCTGAATAAGAAGTTGAAAACAAATGTCAGGGTATATTCTTGGTAGACAGGAAGGAAACAAGAATTCTCCAAATAATCAGCTGCAAGCTTTTTATAGATTAAGTATAATTTTCATATTGAACTTTGGAAAGGGCTCACATTAGTACAGCAAAATACTACTCTAATGCCAAATGCAAGAGGCTATTAAAATACTGTAATGTGATTTTTAAACCAGCTTTTGCTACTTTTACTGCAGGAAAAATGCTCTCTAGTTGTCTAGCTCTCATATTCACTAAATTTTAAGTATTCTACGGTGACTACTTTGTAGTAATATTTTTATATGTAGAAAACACAGCATTAGCTGAAATGGGCCCCTCACATCATCAAGCCTGGTCTGTTCTTGTTGCACACAAGCAAGTCTCTCTCCTGAAGGATTTCCAATCCCGTTAGAAAGTTGAGTTTCATTTAACCCAGCATTAAACACTGAATGAACCCCAGCAAGCCCTGGTATCCATTCTCATTGCTGGAGGTCTTCTTCAGTAAAGCTGTCAAGGCCAAAATCCTTCCAGTCTGAAATGTTCCCAAATGGCCACCCCATTAACTAACTTCACTTCAGCAGCAAGATGCTTCCCGTCACCCTTGTATGCTCTTTTCCACCCCTATGTAGAACTGCTCTTTTTGCAGCCCTCTGGCATGCCTATCTGCGCAGTGAGGGCCTCCCCGGCATGCTGTGAATGGCCAGAGCTGGGACATCCTTGAGCAAAAGACCTAAATCTGAGAGTCACTTATGCTCCTCTTCTCTGATTCTGCTCTTCCTGTATCCTCAGCAGAAAAAAAAAAAAGCACATCCAAAGACAAATTATTTGCCTTATTTTGGATGCCTGTTTCTCCCTGTTTATGAAAACCCAAGAAGAGTAGCTCAGCTACAGCTATCGGATGTTTAGGTGGTTAAAGAGCAGCAGATGCATACCCTAAGTAGATACCCTGCTGTCTGATCTCAGCACAACCCTGAATTTACAGTCAAGAGAAATCTCTCAGGGGAACTTTGTTTAATTCCACCTCCCCCTAGAGTCCTGTAAATCTTCACATGATTAAATCAACATCTCAAAAATGCTGCAACTTCTGCGTGAAAAGTATTAAAAAAGGTTTTGGGCAGCTTCTCTGCCCATTTTCTAATGCTGAGACAACTCAAATGCTTTAAAGCAAATCAGAGGTGATACTTTATATTCTTAAAGACTAGAGTTCACACCTCTGTAATCCATAAAACAAGATTATTAATTAATATTTTGTGCCAGAAACACTCCAAAAGCAAAGCCATAAGGTGACCATCATAATGAAAATGCAGCCATTTTCTTCATGTAAATACAGTAAGGTACTGAAGAGAAATGTTGTTTCATGCTTTGTCCATGAAACTATATTATTTAATATGACCACACTAGCTACACTAATGTGGTGGTGTTAGCTATCATCAACAAGATCCCAAAACAGGAACACAAGTTGGGAACACAATAGGAGATAAATAATATTTATCTTCTAGGGACATACCACAATCTTTCCATACTAAATTTCAGCTTCGGCCAAGTTCAACATGAGCCATCTAATCAGGCTGTCCTCTGATAGCAAAAGTGAAGCCCAAATTGAGGAGACACCAGAGATTCAGTGTTAGAAAAGAAAGTTGCATTATGTGGGGTTCCCCTGAGACTGTCCTACTTTCAGAAATACTCATTATTTTCTCTAATGACCTGGACACTGGAAGAGAAGAAGCCTAGCATAATCCACAGATGTAAACATGGGAGGAAACGTCTCCCAGTGTGCCGGAGGATAGCCTTGATTAGCCGCAGTGATTTGGCAACATAAAACGTCCAGTTTTGTGCAACAATATGACAATATGGAAAATGCTGTGCAAACAGGCACAGAGCCTGGCAAACAACAGGTCACACCGTGAGGCTATTTTTTTTTTGTCTGGTCAAGCTGATAGTTTTACAAAATGTCATATTTGTTTATTGAATTTAGACCAACTGGTTATATATTTTAAATCACTTGATGTTTTTATCAACATGCGCTACTTAACATGGACATGTGAAAAGCCCAGGAATACTCAGCTCCCTATAAGGAACATAGTTGTCAAGTGGAAGAGGATATTTGCTACAGTACTACACAGACTGAAATGTGAGGTGCTATTTAGGCGCAAAACAGATACTTAGAGGGAAAAAAATCAACATTCATTTGAAAACCGCCCCCTGCAATACAGTAAAGAGGAAAAAGCACTGTCCAGTGGGACTGCAGAATGCCTAACATTGGAGGTATTTAAGGATAGATATGGCAGATGTAACTGCCTCAGGTTTACAGGAGAGAGAGATACTAGGAAACCTCTGGATTTCCTTTCCAGACCCCCGGTTCTGTGAAATGCTGGGCACCCACAGTTTCAGCAAGGCCTTCAGAGGGCCCACCATGCTAGTACTCTCTGGTCTGTATGTGCTGCCTGCCTGCAGTGGAAAGGTTTAGAAGAGAACTGGGGAGAGATTAAAAACCTACACATAAGCACCTTGTGCCACTTGGATGTCTGAGATTCTCCCAGAACTTCCACAGGGCTGACATACCAGTCCTACAGAAGACACGTGACCACCTAGAGTTAGCTAGAGGCTACAACGAAAGACAAGTCAGCCTCAGATGAGGTTCAGACCCTAGGAAAAAGAATGTAAAACTACACTGTGATATTTATTTCATAGGCTTTCATGACAGCCCCTATATAAAGGCCAAGAATTCAAAGAGCTTCTCTTTTAAAAATAGATTAAACCAAACCAAACTGCTTTATAGCAAATATGGCTTTTCAAGAGACTTTTTCCTTTACAGGAAAAAATAATCTTGCAAGATGCTGACCACTAACATTAAAAATTTCATCCCTGCAGGTTTTAATACCTTATCTTGCTTCCCATGAGTAACAGTAATTAAAATGGATGCATCTTCACAGGGTGACACAGGAGTTCAGCACTAATAGTTTAATGAAAGTACATCCCTCCCATGTTTTTCCAAGCACTAATGACTCAAGTTCTTCCTTGCAAATGTTTTAAAAATTGTCTTAGAAAGAACCTGAGAGGCACAGAAAGCAGATGGCACCACCTGGAGATATAATAAATATAATCTGACTCTACCTCTCTGCTCTTCCAGTCTTTCAAGCACTGCATCATATTCTTCTGACTTAATTATAAAAAATCATAGAAAAAGTTTCAAACTTCTTCAGAATTGAAAAAAGAAATTTTAAAATTATATATTTCAAAAAAACATATGTACAAAATAGCAGGTCAACTTTTTACGTGTAGGTGTCCTTTCCATTTCAGAAACTCTTTCTGATTAGGCTAAGTCCTGGCTACATCTCAATGAAAAGACGAGTTATCTCAGTTCTGTAAAAATCAGCGTTAAAACCAGCTACCTCATGCCTTGTGCCATTGTCAACTCTGCACGTGCCTTTAAAACAATTTTCAGTGAGACTGTAACAAGAAGTTTTATGTAAATGATTAAATACTTCATATACTTTTTTCAGGTTTGAAACAAAAATGAGTGTAAGCATATGATTTATGACAGGAAAAGCCTCTTTTTAATGGGAAATGATATGATAATTAAAAAAAAAAGCTATTTCTTTTTCTTTCTTGTACCAAAAGGATTTCAAAATAATTATAATGCTCATTAGGAAATATGAGTATATTATGCTTGAAAATGAAAGCACATTAGAATGGGGAGAATAAAATCTGTAAGGCTTTATTATATCGCTATTGAGACGAGTCAAGAAACCAGGAGGCCATCACATATCCTTCAGTACGAGAACTAGAGAGTCCTAAGGGGGTTGGACAGTATTCCCTACATCGCATCTGAAGAGGTCTCCACTTATGGGTTATCTTTACCCCAGGACAGCACCTCTGCAGCTAGACTCAAGCAAGAGTCGAGGCAGGGACACAGCTTGCTTATCACAAGCGATGGGAAAATTAAAGGCAAACTGCAGATGGATACATGACACCTAGCAAGAGAATGCATGTAGAATACAGAAATAACAGCAATATATTATTATATCCATAGAGTCCTAGCTCCAAGACCTGACCTGAAGGTGCCTCTGACAGCATGGCTCCACTGACAGCCACCAGCTTAGTATTGCAACTGAGGATGTTCTGCAAGAAAAGTGTTTTGTAAGACTGATCACGTAAGAAACTCCCTTCTGTATTTCTTGTTGCTTGTAAAAAGGCCATTTAATCCATACTGTTCAGGCAAAATCAGATTACCTTTGTTGACGAGGACACCCAAAGCTATTAGAAGCAAATAAAAGAAAGCAAATAACTTATAATCCATTTTTGAAATTCATCTCTCCTTTGCATTTTTAGTAAAAGTAGCATGGACAGTGAAAATCAATTAAAATTTAAACATTGCAACAGCCAGCATATTTGTGGGTAAAAATGAAGTCACATTTACAAACACTAGCAGGCATAAAACTAAAGTAGTTTTATTTTTGTTGACAATTTCTATTGCTTGCTGAATCGCTATTCAGTAAATGATTCAATATTTGGCTTTCAAGCACTGCAGGCAATTTTTTCCCCTCCACAGAGCACAGAGTTTTTGTAGCTCTTCATTTTGATTTAGAATTTAAAAATACTTTGATATTAGAGTTTCTTTTGCTCATGAGACTTGCAAAAACTTTGTTTCATAAAGTTTAAATGTTTAATGAAAGAAGCTTGCACAGGAAGAAAGAGACCTGCTCATACTTGTTTATCCGAGTTAGGCATTTTCTTGAAAAGACAGTCAGGGAATATGTAAGGCCCTGCCTCATCCTGCTTTTCCACAGTTCCCTCCCCAGCCATTGAAGGAAATTCCTGCAAGGGATATAAACTATCCACACCAAAGCAGAGCCAGGTGGCCATTGAGGAGAAAAGCCAGCGTCCCTAAGAGGTGGGCGTTTTTGAACATTGCTGCCTAGTGCTTCCAGCCAAGCTCATCTGCGTGAGCAGCAAAGCTCCCGCTGCGGAGCCTGGGGGCAGCCAAGGAGCAGCCCCTTCCCTGCAGGCTGCACAGACACCGCGCAGCCGCCCCACGGCAGGCAGGAGCGAGAACATGCTGCCGAGCGGCATGGCAAGGGACTCCAAGGCGAATTAAAAATGAAAAAAAAAATGTCAAAAGTAGGCTCAGAAAAAGCTGCCCTTTCATCACTGTATTTCAGTGCCGGAGTGCGCATGGGCTGTGCCGCGCAGACGGAAGGATGACTGAGAAACAGCAACACTGGTAAATGTTCTGGTTTGTGCATGACTGAGAGTGGATGCAGTCAGTTAGTAAAACATCCTCCTTAGTGTCCTGAAGGGTGCTGGACTCTGTGATATTCACCAGCCTCGTGAGGAGTATTCCTAATGTGAAAAATTACCTGTCATTTCTCACAGCCTCACTTATTTAAGGTACTACCTCACTATATTAAGGCACTAGCAGGCATGCCCATCTTGGCAGATCTGAGTAATTCCAGAGGAGAAAATACAGTCTCTTTACGGTCTTTGCCCTGCCTCTTGGTGCAGATAAAACTAACTAGATGGTTAACTGACAGGGCACCACTAACTGTATCCTCTCTAGAAGGGAAAGAAGCTGTCAGAAAGGCAAGACCATACAATTAGTTTCTGACATACACCACCATCAACTCAAGTGTGCACAGTACAGACTTAACACATAATTCATCCAAACATCCATGTTTCCCTGCTGCTTAAACCCTGTCAAAGCAAAAAGAAACTCTATCCAAAAGTCAAATCAACAAACCTAGAAGTGGTATGTAGTGTATTGATTTATTATGTTGTCTTTAATTAGGAAGCATTGATCTTTCTGAGAGCCTTTCCCTTTGAGCCACAGAGCCAAACCCTCTCACTAAAAAGATGCATATGTCCCAGGCAAGCATCCCTCTACCCCATTTCAGAATCTGAAATGCCCAGCCTTAGTTTTATCGTTTTATTAGTCCACAGCCACATCGTTTTATTAGTACAACCCCCTTCTTGGAGGCAAATGCTACCTAGGCTCTCCTGCAGATACACTCTCTGGTCATAGTGGGTGAAGACTCTTACACTGCTGCTCATGGGCATTCTTGAACCATCTGTCCTAGCTTGGTGTTGGTGCATAGTCCTCAGAGAAATCCAGGGGAGCTCCCCTGAAATCCAATACAAAGGCTGGACTTCCCAGAGGCGCAAGAATGAGAAACACAATCCCCAGTCCTGCTCCAGCCTTTGGCAAATGCTTTCAGTGATTTAAGGTAAAGAACCAAGTTTCAGAAACTGGAATATGAAGTTATTGTCTTCCTCTAGGATGTAGAAGAGTAGACTGCATGGAATAGACTTGAGAGTAGGCTGCATGGGACTAAGCAAAGGACACCTGCAGATGCCACCCCCCTAAACAAGGGCTTACAGTGATGGACTGAGATGCCAATGAACACAAGTGAGCTCTTGGGAAACGCTGCAAAACCTTTTCAATAGGAGACATCTCACATGTGGAAGACTGTCACATCCTCATAAATACTCCAGTGAAAAAAGTCCATGTAACAAACAGAAATGAGTGTCACCCCCTTCCAGCTCCCCTCAATGGACAGCTGTTGATTTACTGAAATCCATTTAAGGCTTGTCACAGTTGTCCACCCTCTACAGAAGATATTCCAAAGTTATGGTAATAGGTAGCAGCAGGAAACCCCCCAAATCATGTTAGCAGGAATTACAATAAAGGGGAAATAACAGAAAGGAAAAGGACACAAAATGTGCAGGAGCACAGACAGTTGAAGAGGTCAGGAATGATGCAGAAGAAAATGAGCTTGAACAGTGAGAAAACAGCCTAGCTGATTTTTTTTTCTATATACTTTGTCATACTCAAATATATTTTCTTTTCATCCACATTCCTGAAAAATTCTTACCGAGCCTGCAAAATCGCAGGCTCCCTCCCACCCAGTTGCATTTCCCAGGTGTGAGCTACCTGAAGCAGGGAGCTCTTTGCTCCGACCAGCCCCGGAGCACACTTATCCAGGCAGCACAGCTCCCTCCCCAACACCTGCCTGCTCACAAACAGCAGCAGAGACTCCCACCGATGTTTGGGCTCCCCAAAGACACCTTCAGGGAGTAGGCAGAAAGGTGCAGGTTCCTCTGCAGGTAACTCAGCAGGGCCTGCAGTAGGAATGTAACTACATTCCTCAGAGAGTTGGTGTTTGTTTTTCCTAAATGCTTAGAAAAATCCTTCCAGTGACTACTTTCCCATAAACCACAGGTGCTTATGAAAATGAAAGAGCAACCACCAACAATGCTTTTGGATAAGAAAGCAAGGAATGAGGCATGCTTTCCTGGGACACAACCTCAAGTGGCTCTGCCAAGAAAATCTTAGGCGCTCTTTGGCGTCAAGTGGCGAAACCGATGTCAAGGCGTGAAGGAACACGGGCCTGCAGGCACGTGGGTAACGGAGGCACGGCACACAGCTGTCTCACCCTATTACCTCCACCCAGAAGACAAATCTGAAAAGGCACCACTTGTCCTTCATGTCCAAATCACAGAGACATGACACAGGGTGCCACAGCAATTGGCACGTTCTCTGTGCGCGGGCTGCTTTAGAGCAACGCGGTGAGAAGGGACATCTGGTGCTACAAGCCTGAGTATTGCCTGCCATTTTCATTTCTCAGGAGCAAACACAAGGACAAACACAAATATCTCACAAAAGAATCTTCTTTGCTTAGAAAGCAAGAGACCATTACAGGACTGTGTTAATATGGAACAACCAAATGGTTTAGGAAAAAGTCATTTCAACTATGGAAATAAAATAAACAACCAATTAGCAGTGCAATGTCAATATGATACAACAAGACAAAAAGAAGCAACTGAACACACAACAAAATTAAGGTCCTAATAGAAAAACACAGCAAAGAACAACCCATATTTTTGGTTTAATATGATACAGCTAGGCCTTACAGCCAAGCTGATGCACAGAATTATTCACAGTGTCAGTAAATTCTTGCAGTATCTACTTAAGGCATAAAGGAGTGATTGAAAGATAGAGAGCAGAATCTTAGTTGTTGCAAATCCATGTAGCTCTGTAGGAAGTCAACAGAGCTCTGCTAAATTACAGAATCTGAGAACAGCATCTGAAATAAAGCATGGAGCTCCTATTCTGTGGTATGGTTATTCGAAAAATTCCTTCAAAACAGGTCTGGAAGAAGCACGATTGCACTTGTCTCAAATTTGAAGGGTTTTTACAAGTGGGAATATACAAACAAAAAGTTGAGAAAACAAACTTTCAGCAATGACATTTGACTCACATGGCACCAATTGCAAAGAACCTGTACCCCCTTTCCCACGTAAGAAGCAATAGGAATGGTTAAGCTTTAAAACACATACACATAAACACAAGAACACATATAATCATCCAAGAGTTCAGAGCGATGTAAGGAACACAAATGTGTAAAGCAAATTAATGACTTTAAAAGATTCATATGATACCAGGTCACAGAAGGTTCAAGGTTCAATCTTTGAAAGAGAGGTTAAAAGCTTTCTAACAGCAAGAAGACCCTCTCATCCTCCCCCAGTTTCAATCTTTTGTTTTCCCAGAACAGTGGAGGTGATGGAAGGCAATGACGTAACACAGACCCATGGAGTCAGTTAGAAGCAAATCATGACCCTCCCAGAAATTGGTATTCTGCTCTTGAGAAGAACCCTCGCATTAAATCTCTGCATTTCACTGGCTGCAGCTCTGGAAAAAGCCAGTGCTGCAAACAGAACATTGTAGCCATAGCAACAAGCAATTCTGCACTTAAACTTTTCAACAGACCAAACAATATCTCCTCTCAGTTTTTGTAATTTCATGGTTAATTATTCACCATGAGCACTTCACTTGTTTAGCTGGTCACGAATGTATCAAAAATAAGTTCCCATTGGTGCTTCAAACAGGAAAACCCCCTGACGTAAAAAAATAAAGAACCATGTATATATACTGTATATATAGGAAGATCATATCCAAAATTAAACTTTTTTCTCCCTTTTTGTTAGTCAGTATGGAAATGTGGAGGACAGCCCAACTTCTGGCTTGTTAATATAACCACTAGCCCTTTCTCAGTATCATGTAAAATGTCACAACCGGAAGCCTTGCAGCCTTAAAATCGAGACTTAAAATATCCAATAACCTCAACAGTATCTCTGAGGAATGCCCTAAAAGCACACACACTCCCACAGGAAGTCTTTCTCCTTTTCACTGATTGAGAGGATTATTTATTTTTTAATTAAAACTCATTTGAAGGCCCAGACTATAAATAGTTAGGATCATTCTGTCTGGTTGGTGAAACTTAACCCTGTTAGCTAGGCAGCTTCGTGTCACACTTTCTAAGGGTCTAATGTTACCCTAACAAATGTTTTCTTTTTTTTTTTTTGTTTTTGGAAAGTGAAACTCATATCATGCGTTTTTCTTCTTTTTTAATGGCATCTGCAAAAGATTTTTCTCAAAGGCAAAAATCTGAGATCTCTTGAACTTTCTTCTTAAAATCCAAAGAAAAAGGAAAGTGTTGATCTCTTCTGTGTAGACTAAATAATGTCAATGATCAACAGAGGTGCTAATTTTAAAGTTTAATCAATTTATTCAGTTAGGCAGTAAATTATCTGAAGCTTTCGCTACCCTTTTTAAACAGTTCACCTTTTTTATACTTCACCGCAGTGAAGAATTTCAATCTGAAGGAACCAGACAGCACAGAACCCTTGAGAGCATCAGCAGTCATTCTGCCTTTCGCCTTCCTTGCCCCTGCCAATAGCTTAACTGTGGCATCACTCCACCATTCACAGATGCAGACTTGGTCAACTGACCCTACCACTTGGCTGTGGACTGAGCTCTGCTAGCAAGACATGCGGAGAAGCTCCAGGGATGACAGTGAAGGACAGTGCATGAAACAGACACAGAAATGTGTTTACACACTCAGGAGGAGCGGGGCCTTTCCTCAAGTCTGTTTATTTGAATTATTTTTGACAAGTAGCACTAATTTCTATAGATTTAATGGGCCGTGTGAGAGACAGCTACTTGGCATTAAGATGTTGTTTAGTCCTGCCAGTAACATACTGTTTTTTTGGGGTGGATTTTTTTGCAATGTTTTGGGAACTTCTCCCTCTCTATATCATGAGGGGAGGTACTGGGGAAAACCTGCTCTCTTTTTGACTTCTTTCATATTCTTTACTCTCTGGTGGCTTGTCCACATGCATGCCAGACACCCACAGTCTGACCTTGCACTCCAAGAGGCGCTGAGTGCTTTCTACAACTCAGATAGGAAGTGGCTCTTGGTTGGAAAACTCGTGTGCGCTTAGATGTGCATTTGTCAACGGGGCAGGATTCTGACAAAGCGGAAGCAGGAAGACAACAAGGAACCAAAATCCATTTTCGAGTAAGGTCTACTAACAGGATGTGGTTGGTGGATGCCGTGACCAACCTAGGAGTAAGTGCTTGGTGATCTGTGACTGGTCATGCAACACACTGTCAGGCTACTAAGCACTACGAGTAAGGTGGATCCAAGAGGACATTTTCTGATGCATCTCTGACAGGAGGGGTTTGCAAAAATTGAGGGGATGTTGAAAGACTTTTTTAGGAAAAAACAAAAAAAACAAAAAAACAACATTACGAGAACAGGACTCTTGAAAAGACACAGAAATATGCCATACTTACTTTTGTCTTCCTGGTTTTCTTCTGCTGGTTTGCCTTCCTCCTCCTCCTCCTCTTCCTCTACTTCCTTCTGCGGTGCCTCTTCGTGGTGATCGGGGGTGCCGACGGAAAGGCTCTGACAGCAGTGGTTGAAGCCGCTATCCCGAGGCAGCGTGAAACTTCGGGGCTTACCCCCGTTTCCGTTGAGCACTTGCATCCGCTCCCCCTCCACGAGCGGGAAGGGGCCGTAATGGTCTTGCAGGTGGCACTTCTGGGTGGGCAGCGTGGATTGACGCCGGTGCTCGGGGGACACCACAACGGTCTCAGAGAACACCGAGTCCTCCAGCGGCAGCGTCTGCAGGTAGTGGAGTCCCGAGCTCGTCAGCGGTGTCTCTATGAGGTCCTGCCAGGAGCGCCGCGCGCAAAGCGCACCGGCGAGTCGGTGGCGCTCCCCGCTGCCTCTGGGCGAAACTCCTCGTGCGATGACTGCGACTGGGAGGTCTCCGTGGACGAGAGGCGGCTGTGCTTTGGCTCCACGTACGGGCTCGCGCAGCTCATCTGCAAAGCAATGGGAAGCCTTCAGCTTGCGTGCACTGCCAAGAGCTGCATCCCTTCCACTGCCGTTGGAATAGTCCAGCAGTGAAAACACGAACCCACCTGGCTAACGTGCTGGGATCATAGAGTGGGGCATGCAAAGGTTTATACGTGCAAAAACTGTGGTCAACATATTGATACACTTATTTGTGCAAAATGTCCCTTCATCAATAAATCAATTGATACTTTATTTTTTCAAACTAATATGCACAATAAGGCTCTATGGAACACAGAAGAGCAATTCCCGACCCATTAATATTATCTTTCAAATGCTAAGGCCTAAATCATGACACAAAGGCCTATCATTACCCACTGTTAAAACCTTCTTTGGAATCATCATTGCAGTTGGCATTGCTCGTGCACAGTTCTGCTTCACAAAGTAGAAGTATTGCATTCAAATAAACATTATGAACATTCCTCGCAGATTTTCCTAACTTTTCAAGCCCAATTTTTGTTTTGTTTTTATATATTCAGGTAAGATGTGTTAGCTGAGTTTATGGATGTGAAAATTAAATTTCTAATTTGGAGTAAGTTTATAGTCCCTATTCTGACTTTATACAAACATCTGCTGCAAGAAGAAACAGTAATAAAAAACCTTTTTTTCTAATTAATTCATAGATAGGCATACTTTCTCATGAACAACTATTATTGTCATTTAGGGTATGAGTGAAAACATTTTTATGCTGACTTTTCTCTAGAAATTTAACTGCCATTTGTCACAGCGCAATTGTTTTACGGTAGGAAAAATCAGCATTGCTATCAAGGGATAACGTTCTGATGGACTACATGATAACAGGGAGGTGGAGGTTTTTGCACGGATGAATAGGGGAGTCTGTTTTATACTGACAGAATACAGAGGACAGAATTCTCTAACTTAATCCATCTTGTGTAACAGCTGGGATTATAAATCTCCACACACATGTGGATGAAGCACTTGGGGACATGGTTTAGCAGGCCTGGTGGTGATGGGTTTAGGGTCGAACCTGACGATCTTGAACGTCTTTTCCAACCATAACGAATTTTTGATTCTATGAAGTAGCAGTGATGGCTGTTTAAGTTAGCAATGCATGTTACTTAGCAAACACCTCCAGACAAGTGCTGACTCAAAAAATCCACTGAAGAGTGCCATAATGTGTGTGTGCATATGTTTTAAATGGGGGTGTAGCTAAATGTAACACTTGGTATAATCATTCCTAAGTAGATGCTGGCAGGTGACTTACCGAAGGAGGACGTGGGTATGTGTCATATGGAGGTGGTGGGCTGTCTTGCTTGGGTGTTGATGGAGTGTCGGCTTCCTCCTTATCACTCTCACTCCAGTAATCTACAAGTTACACAGAGAGCAGATCAAAAACTACTCACACATTTTGATACATAGGCACATTGGAGACTGGTTTTCATAAAATATACTGGAAACTAGATATTGTCAAGTTTATTGCCATTCAGCAGTAAACATTGCTGAATGACGACTGTGTAAATTTTAGCCTCTGTAATTTGGAATTGTTCTGATCAAAAGCAGTAATAATTCAAAACTTTATGGGATATACTAAGCCTAATGCACCATTGCAGACATATTAAATAGCAATCTGCCAATGAGCCACAAATTCACACTGTGGTGTACAGCTTATAAATACAATACACATACAAAATACACCCAATACAAATATCTAACTTTCATATATTTAGAAAATCATCAAGATTGAATGTATATTGATTAGAACAAACTGAAAATATATAACGAAAAAAAGTGAAAAATGTACTTGGCAAAATTCTTCTTGACTGCGAAGAACATTAACAACTGTAATTAACACCAACTGACAAATCAAACAAGTAGTGGTTATTGCACCATCCGGTATCCTACTGGTTGCTCAAGCTTTTCAATTAAATTTCTAATAACAAACAGCTACAGGCAAAATTAGACAGAAAATTTTATATCATCCATCTGTTTCATAAAGGATCTGTTGTCCTGTTATCTAAGCAGGAGGATAAAGGTGATTTGAAAAGGAAAAATATTATAATGATATTTAAGGAAAAAGTTGCAAAAGATGGATAAGACAGATTAAGTGCAAAGGACACAGAGCTTGGAGGTTAAACTTAATGTGATATGAGGCTTAATTTTGTCATGAAATCAAATCATAGTCAATCCCCTTTCACATGTTTGGTAGCTTGGCTAAAGGGGAAAAACACATGGATGAGTGTACCACATTGTAAATTAGAATTATTCTATTGCAAATATTTTTGAAGTAGAACAGCAGCTAAGTAAATGGACACCATATCTCATAGTTCTTACAAAAGCAAACTATGCAACTTCCAGCTCTGTTCAAGATGAAGAATGTCAACATTTCCGCACAATCTAAACCTTAGGTAAACATTTGTTCTGTCATCCTGTTTCTGCCTGTGTTGGCCTCTAGCATTGGGCGAATTGTGCTATAACTGAACAGTATAGTTCATATAGTTCTTCACGGACTAATCACAGGCCATTTTGACTTTGTTCAATAAGTGTTCAATGCATTCTATCACTTAATCCTTTCTCTTGATACATGAGCAGAAAAACATTGATTTTTGTCTCATAAACTATCTAACAAAACAAAACAAACAAACAAACAAAAAACACTCAAAGTGTTCCAGGTTGGCACAACATATAATTTCAGCTTTCTTGTTTTTTTCCCTATCCTTATGGTTAAAGTATCATATTGTATAAAAAACCTACCATAATGTCTTACTCAGGATTTAAAGCAAAGATGGCTTACCTTAAAATGAACCCTCTTGAAACAATTCTCCCTAAAATTCTACGTAATTTTAGATAGTTGTAAATCAGAGAGGGTGGCCTTATTTAATCATTATTATTTTACAAGCAGTAGCAATTTTGTTATAAGACTGGCTCTCTTGATTTGATTCTTGCAAGAATATATCTGAGAAGAGATCTCTTCAAACAGTATATTAAATAAATGGCACAAATAACGTTTTCATGAACCTTAAAATCAAGAATTCCAACTACTTCTGTCTCTGCAGAATTCCCCAAATTGCTTATTTTATGTGAAGAAAAGACTAAGTCAGAGAAAACTTCTTATAACTCCCACTCAGTTTTAAGAAAATTATTTTCGAGTTCCAATTATTTTGAACTCAAAGAAAAAGAAATAAAATATTGGCATATAAGAATGTTTGTTTCTATTGCAGCAAAGACTAATGGAGCTATGCATAATGAATAGCCTATCATAATTTTATCACTCAGTGAGATCTCTGCAGACTTAGAGCTGAATTATTGATTCTGAAACTAAAATTTAGCAAAGTCTCTGTGTTGTTTCAAATTCTGGCTAAAAATGCAAACAAATTCATGGCTGACAAATCCACATAAAACAAAATACAGTATCATGCTTTTGTACACTTTACCTCCAATAAGAAATTCTGCTCACATCCTAATGCATTTGTCTCAAAAATAATCAGCAGTTAAGAGGACCATGAAATGAGCAAAAGTAGCCTCCCACCATTTTAAAAAATGTTTTGCTTTTGGCAAGTGAGAGATTAAAGTCTGTCTAAAATGCATATTATGCTATCAAAGAGTTGCCATGCTTCTCTCCACGGATTTTGTCCAATTCAGTTATGGACAAATTCAGTTCATAGGACATAGCTTGAAAGCTTTCTGAATGACCAGTAGACTTCATTGACTGTATGTAAACTAACACTCGCCTACCATTTGCCAATTAATTATTTTCTATTTATATAAGCAAATACTTTTTCTCTGATTTTATGTGACTGGAAAGTATGCAGCTTCACCATCCAAAGAAGTCCCTTGCCATGTTCTTCACATTCACTATGTTTAATATGGAAAGTTGATGGTATTTTTATAAAACTGTTCTGTACAGAATGTCACATTTTCTTCAGGAGTACACCCACCATTTGGTGATTCGTGCATCTCTGAAGCACTTGAAATATAGTTATGCACTTGAGATTCAGAAGTGTTCAACTCTTAATTGAAGCAACTGACAACTACTGTTGGGTTGTTTCAGAGGCATTATAAAGCCTTGCTGCAAGGAGCTGAACAGAAATAAAGGATCTTTTGTAAAATCAAATATGTAGATGACAATTGGTACAGTCATTGAATATAGAAAATTCCAGCTTCATATTATATACAGTTTCAAAACCGCTTGAAGTGATAGAGATTTGCTATCTTGATGCCTTTGCTAATTAGGGACACTGCTCAGCAATTTAACAGCCCTTGTGCTTGAGAGCGCATGATCATCACCAGAGGGATCACACAGTATCATAGCAAGTGAGGAATGTGAGACTGACCCCACACAACACATATAGGAAACACATAAAGATGATGTAGGTTCCCCTACATCTATACAATAAATCAATTCTAGTGAATGGTGTAAGTGCAGTAACAAAGAACTCCCTCACTGCCACAGGTATCATGCCTATAATAAGCCTCACTGGTGATTTTATCCAGGAATCTGTTCAACTAAGACACAGCATGAGGTCTGAGTGCACATGATCTGATGTCTAAGAACTGGATCATCTGTTATTTCACTGTTTAGTGATTGCTTTGGGAGGAAAGGTTCGCTGACCCTTCTAGTGTGCTCGGTGGTGAGACGATCGTGAATACATCAAGGCAGACACATTTGCTAATGCTACCTATTAATCTCCTACCATAGAGGAAAGGTTCGCTGACCCTTCTAGCGTGCTCGGCGTTGAGACGATCATGTATACATCAAGGCAGACACATTTTCTAATGCTACCTATTAATCTCCTACCATTACAGGATGTTTTAGTCTCCTGATGTATTTTCCTGACTTCTGGAATCACCCTTGCTTCTCACTGGAAAATGAGTTTTTCCACAGAGTCTCCAGGGAGAGAAGCATGTAGCACACGTTTCAAAGAGGCAGACCACACAGATCTTCCTCCTCACAATCTCAGAGCAGAAGGACAGGGTGAAGCTACTCTTAGGTTGTCACTAAAGTTGATACAGACCCATGATTTTGGGGGCTAGGAGGACACCATGTGGCAAATCCTGAAGCCTGGTGACAGCATTCTGAATATAAATTCTCTCTAAATGATTGAAAATACAGTCTTTAAAGAAAAGACTACATCATATATATTTTTGTGCAGATCAGAGTTGTAATGTTTTAGGAAGAAAAGACAGAACCTCACTGATGAAGACTGTGCAGTCACAGAATTTAAAAAGTTTGACTCTGCTGCCAGCATGCTGACAGGCATCTGGAAAAGTTCTGGATCATCATAACCATTGCAACTGGTGCCTCCTGCCAGGTAGAGCTGTAAAAAAAAAGAGCATGGATTCACAAGGCAGCTGTTTGCCAAGCCAATTAGTTGGATAGAAATACTTCTGGGAATCCATGTATTTTATATGTTCTGCTTATTTAAACCCATGTTATACTAGGCACTAAAAAAGCAAAGGAAAGATGTTGTAAAGCTACCACTGTAAATGAAGTGCTTCATTGAAAAGGCTAGCAGAATTCTGGCACAAACCTTTTATGAAAATGGCAGAAATAAAAAAATAAGTGGCCTTAAAATCAATGCCCTTAAGAGAAATTTTATGTCAACCAGCTTTAGAAGAATGGTTTTGTTCCCGAGACCTATTTGATATGTTCCTGTTCCCTGTGAATTCAAACATCAAGAACAACTTGAACTTTTCTCTTTCAGTGGGTAGATTTTTAATTTTCTTCTTATGGGAGACAGAGACTCCTCAGTACAATAAATCTGAGCTAACTGAAAGTAAATGAGCTGCCGTTAGCTACATTTTGTAGCTTTCTCAGAAATAATCCAAGAGTCTGTTGATCAGAACCTGAAGGAGTTAATCAAACATGATGAGAGAGAAGGACTTCTCTAAAGCAACAGCCATGATACCCATATGTGAACAACTCCCATGGGATGGGAATGATGTTGGGAAGGGAACTGGGATAAGCGAGAAGAACAGATGAACCAAAAAAACAACACCTTACCTTGTTCTTGTTTGATCCTTTCCCTTTCTGCATAGCCAGCAGCAAGCATGTTAATTCTGTTTAGCCATCTGAAATAATATTGAAAAAAAAAGGAGTGATACCAATCCAGCATGCCAATTTTGGATGCATTTCTACCAAAAAAAAAAAAAAAAGTTACAAGCATTGAAAGAGATTGAAGAAAATGTTATTTTTCATGCAAGACAGCTGTTTTCTTTGATACTTTTACTCGGGGTGTCTCCAAAGATCTATAATTTTGCTGTTGAACAAAATGTTTCCACAGCAAAGATCTTGTTTCAAATGCTAAGTCACATATGATGTCAAACATTTGTAAAATAAAGGATCTTGAGATAATCAAAGAGCCATTAAGTCTGCTGCTCCCAGATATGCCATCACAGCAATACTCCTGCTGTTCTGATTTCTTAGGAATAAACACTACTTTTCAGAGATTTAAGCAACATTTTAAGGCCTGAATTGGCTTCTTAACAGAGGAACAGAGCAGAAACCAACAGTCAAAAGAACAGGTTCACTCCCAAATAGACAGTGAGGTTTAATTATGCCATTATGTGTTTCAGAGCTTACCTATAGTGCCAAGTACAAAGAAACGGGGGCATATCAGAATTCACTTTTGTGTTTGTGTCAGCCCAGCAGAGGGAGAAAAGACACTGGCCTCAATGCAATTCACATCTAAGGCTTTCATGTCAGCTTTACTTAAAAAAATGCTTCCATAAGCCACACAAATTAAAAATAAACTATTGCTATTCTTATCTAGCAATGCTGTCATTGTGAAGCACAGATTCAGCCGCGTGTGGCAAAGCCTTCCTTCAACCTGCCCTTCTCCCTCATGGGGCTCTCAGAGTATTCATTATCCGAATGCTTACACGAAATCATTTCCTCCATAAATGAGACTTTAAAGCAACATGACAACCTCCCATTCGTAAACCTGGAATTACTTACTCCAGTCATCCCACAGTCAGGATCTGACAGGCCTTATTTGCCAAGCTAACGGCTCACAATTTTACTGCTAAAATACAGAAGGACAACTGAAGTGGGTTTGGCATTTTCTTGAAGAATGTGAAACTTTTGTTTCAGAAAACTGTGCCTGATGGGTTTCTTCTGCATCCTGTATGTAAGGAAGCAGCGTAGTATTTGCTCAGCAAGGGACACACAGCATCCTTTGTAACCACTCCTGCATGTCAACCCTCAGCACATTTCAGGGCACAGTATGCAGACCTTAAATCGTAATGAACAGTTGCTCTCCCTGAAATAAACTTCCATCACTTTCCTTCCACAAACTGTGACCTCAGATATGGTCTGTGAGTAGCATTAACGGCCAATAAAGCATTGCACATTGGGAGGAATGCTAGAGATCTACTGAAGTGATTACAGGATACTTCATATTTGCATGCAATCCAAATTACTGCCTGAAACAGAAGAAAAGAGAAGCCAAAGCAGAGACTTAAAATTTCAACTGCAATAGTTAGGAACTGCTACACAGGTATATAGATAACTGGCACATTGGATCAGAAACGCAGCAAATCGTGTCTCAGACAACTCTGTGCATCTCCCCGGCAGACCAAGTGACCGCCTCCAAACCTATCTTCTGGATTTGCTTTCCTGAATCAGGAAGTCTTCCTCTGGGGAATAAATGTCAGGGCAGTGTAAGCTCAGCCATCCTGACAGCTCTGCCGGAGCTCTGCCTCCACCCCAAAGCAGACTGGCAGAAAGGCAGGAGCCACACACGGCGAATGGCAGCGTCTCAGCGTGGGGGGATGAGCAACGGCACGAACCGTTGTCCTTGTGCAAAGGGTAAAAGCAGCAGAGAAGAAAACAACAACAAAACCCTCCTCCGACAAAAAAGCATGGCAGACAATCGAGGTGGATCCTCTGTTTTCTAAGATGTATAGTCTAAAGGTGTATATACAGGAAGTGTATAGCCACGTAAGAGACATACAGTGTGCTGACTTCATATTTCTTGATTTTCTGCTCAGTTCATGATTTGTGTCATGACTTGAAATACTACCTGCAATGCCTGTGAGATGAAAGACAAGGTACTGGTGTGGTTGTAAACTGTTAAGGACCATGGTTTTGGGATGGTTTGTTAAGTTCAGAAACTAAGGAATGGTACTGACTCCTTAGGCACATTTGTTGATATGTGGCCACAGTGAAAAGCTTCTTAGAATATGGGTGGAATAGACATGGGTAGGGAGTTAGATTATTTTAAAAATACAGCTAGAGCTATGGTTCCTTCAAGATAGAATCATATAAGAAAGTCGCCATAGTATGTTTCTCTCACAGGGAAATCTGTGAAGAACAGAAGGGGCACAGAACACTCCTTCAGCAGATATTTAGGACAAGAGTTCCAAGTGTGCAGTTATACAAAATTTCCCTATGAAGAATTTCAAAAGACATAATAAAACCCTACTTGCAAGTTATCTGCAAACTTCTAGAATATGGAAGATCTGCTCTCATTGATACTGAACTGTACCTTGGTAACCAGTCTAACTTTTAGAAGGCAAGAAGCCAAGAAAAAAATCCTTCCTTACTGGAATAATTTTCTTGTGAGAATTATAAAATGTATATATTAGCTATGACAATAAATAGAGAAATACTGGTAGCTGCAGCAGTCATTTAGGGTTTTTTGTTATAAAATGGCACATATATTCCTTGTCAGGATGTGATTAATACAATTTTATAATTCACATGCATCTATATGTAAAAGTACTTTCTAGCCCTGTAACTCCTCTAAAGTAAAGTCTCTATAGTAGCAAGTATTCTTCTGTCTTGTCTCACATCCTAGGGAGATGCAATGTTTCTACTCATATTGACCTTAATCATAAAGCTCAAGGATACAGGATGAGCTTGCATGGTAGCATGACTATCTTATAGAGTCTATATGTAATCAGTTGCAGTTTAACTAAAATGAAGAAAGCTGTAGATGATGTTGGAAATTTTTGGAGGTCATCCTCACTGAAACCTTCCACACATTCTCGTGCTACGAGTCAACTTGTCATCTTTGTTTTTGATCACAGAGCTATACTGAGGAAGAAAGATTGTACAAATTTTAATACTCTGCCTACTCACAGAAAAAGAGAGGTCAAATCAGTTTCAGTAGGTTTAAGGAAGTTCTCAGATCACTATTCAACATCAAGTTACTGACTGTGTGTTCCCTTGCCCAGAAGACACAATTTTGGTAGCCATGTATGTCATCACTTTAAAATAATATACTAATATTAAAATAAATTATATTAATTTATATTAAAATTATATTAAAATAAATATAAATATATAAATTAAAAGGGGTATGCTAAATATTTAAGCCAGACAGCCCTGAAGAAGTCGCGTTTGCCTCTAAAGAAAAGATCAGGATCTTTGAGTAAATATATATTGGATGCATGAAGAGGCAGACATGACTACCATGGAAAAGCAGAATAGAATTACATGTAATACCATTAAGTAGAAATATAAGATCTGTGCTTGACATCAGAAATATTTTCCTGGAATAGGCATAGCAATGAGCTTCCAAGTAATGTGTTTCTATGAATACAGACTTATACGAGCAAAACTGTACTTCGTACCAATAAAGGTTATTCTGTCCTTCTTTTCACCCAAACAGAATGGGTTATATGGATAGAAAGAGCACTTTTACTGGTGCAACAGTGTAGATGAAATGAACTTCATATGTCACAGTAATAATCTGCACAGTCAACCTTCTCTCCTTACCAGCATAATAGGGTGGCAGAGTCACAAAGGCAGCAAGATAATCTGAACAGTGTCAGAGTTACCTAACACTAAAATACACCTTTTATGTGCATGAAATGAAAAATGAACACAAATGAAAAATTCACCTGACCTGGATACAAATATACACATTTACAACTAAATCATTATTTTACAAAAGGAATGAACTATTTCTAACTTTCAGTAACAGTGTGTTTTATGCTACTTTCTTTTCTTCTACCTCAGGTATAAACAGCACTGAAATGACCGAATGATACATAATTAAAATGTACATCAGAAACCTGACCAAAAAGTACAGAAAGTGATCAAATCAGTCTTGAATTTATTTTTGATACATTGACTGAGAATGTTTTAGCCTAACTTGTGTAGAGGCTAGAACATGTTTTTCAACAAGAAACATTTTATTATATTATTATTACTAAATTTATTTCCACATTCTGCATTTAAATGATATTTTTTCAGTAATCCATATTTTCTTTACCAAGTTAATTCAAGATTTCTCAAAGTGATTTTTTTTTCATAGATTAAGTAAAGAGAAAAAATAAAGTATTTTGGTGAGACTCTGAAAGCAAATGAAGACTGGGAAGAATTTGAATTAATTCCATAGACCTTGATGGATCTGCTTCAAATTTACATGTATTTAACTCAGCTCAAAACTAGGTCAAGCTCATTCGTAATGAGTTAATAAGCACTTCTAAAATGTGATAAAAAGATTACTCATGCCAGGAGGTTAAAAACTTTCTAGTTCCTGAGTTAGTTTTAGGCTATGTAATATAACTTTAATGTATTGATGTGTATTTGCTGTTGCTTTCTGATTACTGAGCAGTTATATATTTTTATTCTCAGAAACAAGGCATCCTGTCATAGTGACTGAGGACCTACTGACAGCAATGATTTATCTATTGCTGTTGTTTGGGATATGTTGAGTATACTATACCATTACTCTGTTCAATGTGCAGCAAACAACTGAGATTTGAGTCACTGGCTTGACAGAATTATGTAGTAAAGACAAGCCTAAAATTTTACAAAGAAATAGTTAGACTTTTAATATTTTTTTAGCTAGTCTCATTTTTCCTTTTATTAAAAGCACACAATATTCCTCAGGATGTTTACAGCAAAAATCTAAGCAAAAATCTCAGTCGCAAGCATATTTCTGTTAAGGTCTTCCATCATAAGATGTGATTATATACTTTTTTGAACTGAATTACTTTTTTGTTGTGAAAACAAATGAAATAAAAAACAAATATGTGAATTGAGGTGGGATGAATGTCATTTCTTTAGTCAAATGAATTAAGAATAAATGTATTTATTTTGTGCTGAAGTTTCAAGCATTTTTTGGTAAAATCTCAAAAACAGAGTAAAATGAGTACAGTTAAGCTCAGTCCCTGAGAACTAAGACATAACTCTGCTGTTTTCCAGTTGCTTACTCCAATGAAACCAAATTTTCACTTCAAGTCTCAGATTAAATTCTTGTCAGTAGAAAAAAGCTGGCAAATTCACTACTTGCTATTTCTAGTGCCTTTTTCAAGATTGGTAGAAGAAAGATCAGTGACTGTTATAAACCTTTCTCCAACTTGTTACTTCCTCAAGGGTCAGAAGCAGAGAGAAGCTTCACTGGGTGAGTATCACGTGTCTGGGGGTATGAGCACGAGCAGCTGGAGATACGGCTCCTATGCAGGTGCCACACATCCAAGAGCAGGTTTACAGAAACCTGGAGTTCTAAAATCTTGTTTGCAGCTTCCTTTCTTTCCTTTTTTTTTCTTTTTAAGAATGAGAGAGTCTTCTAAAACCTTTTAAAAGTCTTCCAATCTTCCTTTCAAAAAGGCAATTTTTTCACAAAGTGAATACTTAGCATTTGCAGCCACTCAGAAACAATGCTACTCTGCGCTCATTTTCTCAACTATCAAACTTTACTTTTAATTTAGATAAATATGTAACTTCTTATTACTATTTTACTGTTACTGCTGTCCTTGAACTTTGCCAGTTTTCCTTACCTGTTCATATCATCTAGGTGTTCAGCAGCAAAATAAAAACTTTTGATCTTAGGATGGCAGGCTTTGAATGCACTGTAGAGGAAAAACATAATTATAAAAATATAATGGAACAACTTTTTTTTTTTAATATAAGAAAGTGAAGTGATCAATGAGATGAGTTCAGATTTCCTCAGTTGTTAAAACCCTCCAAACAGAGTATAAAAATAATTTTTAGGATTGTGCCAGGCTTCTCCGACTAAAATGTACTAACACTACCCCTTTCCAAATAATATTCAATTATTTCATGCATAAACAGAGATCATTCAACAATCACACTACACTGTTTTAGGATAGTATTATCCAGTTAAGAAATAATTTATTTACCAAGCCATTTTGCTGATGTATCTAGAGGTGTAAAATTCTTTCTGGACAGAAAATTGATTAAAATTGTTCAATACAAGAGAAAACCTGTCAGTCCTGGTGACTGCTCACATCCCAGTGACCTTGACACTACCTTTAGTTCTAATGACTGAGTTTCAAATAATAGAAAAAAAATGTGATGTACTGATTGATTTCTGAAGAGCAGTTATAAATCAACAATATGTTCTTGAGGTCATACCAAGCAATGGGCAATTACATCTCATCTTTCCTTTCCACCAAAGTAATCAACTTGACTGGGCAGAGAGAATTACAGCATACATAGTAAGAAATACATAATAAGAAATAAATTACTTGAAAGATTTTTTTAACTATGTTGGATAAAGATTTATGGTGAAGTATTTGAAGATCTAGAAAATGAACCTGAAAGTAATTAATAATTTATAGGACAGAAGAATTATTTTTGAGTATAGCCTGAAGGTCTCTCTTAAAACAAGGACAAAAATGTCTAACACTTTCGAAGAAAGTAAGAAAAAGTGTGAAACACATAAAGAGCACTACTATCATTTTTATGAGAAAAGATGGGTTAAATTAATACAACATACACCTATATCTGTCTGTCTATATTTATGTAGGTATACATATATATATATATATAAAACTACATATATATACGTACATATATACATACATACATATATATGTATAAGGAAATAGGTTTTCAGAAACCTGATATATGTAATCCAGGAAAGGTACTGCTACTGAAGATATTATGTAAAAATAATATCCTTGAGACCAAAAGGACTCATCTACACACTGGAGTATGACATAATGTTATGCAAGTGAATACAGATGTACAGTGACATCTGTTCAGTTTATAAAGTCATCATCAAGTTACTAAGACTCCAATCTTGACTTCTTAAAATTGTTAAAGCATCTGTCATCTGGATTCTTTGTTTTTCTTTATCAGCCACCCGAACAAAGAATTTTAATAGCTACAGTTTATGTTCTACTATCCAGCACATAACAAATGCTGAAAAAAAAAATTAAAAGGGTGCAACTCTGAGGAGCTGACAAATCAGTGTTGCTGCCTAACAGAACATAAAAATGAACTACTTCAGCAGTGTAGCCCAATGATCCAGGAAAATAAGCCCAAGTTGATATATCCATATATACAATTTTGGATTATATATATTTTATATAATCATATAATTATATATAATTGTGTATATATATATATATACACACACACCCACATATGTATACACACGCTTAAAAAATATAGTTTTCATTTTCTGCCCTATGAGATCATAATGAAGAGGAGATTTAATCCAGAAGGGATACATAAACCAAGCAGGACAAGGTCAGAAATACTTTAGAACAGCATGCACTATAAATTAAAAGGAAAAGCCATTTTACTTTTGCAATTGCTTTTCTGTACAATTTTCAGTGATTGCATGTTCTTGAAAAACTTAAGTCAAAGAACAGTAAAAACTATTAGAAGGCAAGGCAGAAAGTTTTCAACAATAAGACTTAAAAATACATCTGTCACATTACTATAAAAATACATCAAAATAAAAAATGGGTTTGTGCAAGAGCATATATTTGGACACCAGCATACATACCTAGGTGAAAAGAAAAGTTGTTTTAGAGCTTTAAGGTCATATTCCCAAAAGAAGAGAAATCACTGTCATCCTCTTGTTTAACTCCACCTCAGGACTGACTCCCTGTGTCAGCAAACTTTGAGATGTTGTTAACTAATTTGGAGTTATAGTAAAGATTGATCCCTGGCCATGAACTTAGGATGGTGTCCTTATTTTGCTTCAAGTTGTTGTATTAAGCTTAGAAGTCTTACAATATCCCCCTCAGACTGCTCCTTTTCCCCTCCAAAGAAAAGGAGAAAGCCTGAAACTATCCACTTAAGAAAGGAATAGAAGCAATCAAGCAGTCTTCTTGCTTTTAATGCATTTTGCCGTGATCATGCATGATAGTTTCACGCAGATCCATCTTTAGGAAAAATAGCACACAAATACCACACCAGAACTTGGCTGTTTTGTATGACCTTGTTCTGTGATCCCTGGAACGAACTCCATGACTGTCATTGCTGTACAGGAAAACTTTGTCCTTAGTTCCACTTTCTCTGTTGTTTCATTATATTGCGTTTTTCTGGAGTATACTTACTATTTCTTGCGGCATTCACTGGCCCTATCGATTTTAAATTCAGGTAGACTGATGAATCCTTCTGCTTTTTCATCCTACAAAGACAGTTCTAGATATTACTGTTAAGGTGTCAAAAAGAATCACTGAAAAGTTAGCAGAAGAAATATATTTTCACTTGCCTGCTTCTTACATAAGAAGTATTAATATATGCTCTGCTCTGGCAAACTTCCCACAAAAGTCACTGGGACTTTTGCCAAAGTAGTAAGACAGATCCCTTGGTGTAAACACAGTTTTTAAACATTCAGTTTCCTCAACTAATTTCACAGTTGAAACAGCATTTGAAAAAATGCAAAATGACCAAGTGTATTCAGGCAGTTAGTCAACATAATTAGTTAATTTTGGAGGAGGGTGGACTAATTAGTAAGAAGCGATGCAGAGTTTTGTAAAGGATAGGGAAAAAACTATTTGAATTTGCACTGTTTACGATCTTTATATGATATCACAGCAAAGAAGCATAATAGTTAATTTAGATACTTTTGATATTTTATGCATGATTCAGTTATTCTATCTCTCTAACACTCATAGAGCAGACACTTGACCTTCCTCTAAAGACCTGTACATAGTTTATTTTACCAGACATTGAATCTCCCTAGACTTTTCTCAATTTGAAAGCATTATTTATTTTAAGCTACTAACACATCAGTTCCACAGACTTTGTTTTTTGACTGTTCATAATCTTGTATTTGGAAATAATAGAGCATCATGAACGTGAAGTATGCTAAGGAATTCCATAGAATTACATCTTCGACTTTCAGATCTTCCATAGCTACCTTTACTACACATGCAGTCTATTATGGCTCTTTTACTGCAAAACATCACAGAAAATGGAAGCACGAGTCTTCTTGTGTGAGCTACAAGATTACAAGGGGCTTTGCACTAGCACGTATTTTAAAGTCAGAAGTATCTTTAAGTCAGTTTAGAATAATCTTGCTACCAATATTTCGCTTGGTTGCCTAAAAAAATTTTGGCAAGAACACTGCTCATCTGCCCAACGGTCATCTGCCCGTCCGTGAGTCCTCCCCCCGCAACAGCTTTGGCATCTGTGGGTGATTGCCACCACTTTTCTCAAGGAGTTTCAAAGATAATCAAGTTCCAGCAAGTCCCATGGAAATGTGGGCAAGGGAAGAGAAGAGGGAGCTGCTCAGATCATTGCCCTCTCCAAGAGAAAGTCAGGCACAACTCAGCAACTCCACACACTCCTTGGCCATGGCTGGTGACCAGTCTCATAGCTCTGAATTGCTACCTCAACAAAGTCCTCATAGTAGACTTTGAGGAAGGAAGAAATAGAGCAGCGAGTTGGGATTACTGATTCAAAGATGGTTTTGAGGCACAAGTAGCAGGAATCCCTGGGAAACCAGGTTTGGTAAATTTGTTCATGGAATGACTTTCTATATACACAGTGAAAACTTTGAAATCATAATATTTTAAGTAAGTTGTATAAATGCTCACAGGATTAAAACAACAGAAATGGCAATCCAGGACTGAGTACACCCACATGCTGGCAATGTGGACTTCTTTGGGACTTTCTTTGGGAATATTTGCATATTAGTGACATTTAAAATTAAGGTTTCCTACCTCATCAACAAAAAGCTGTTTTACCAAAGCTGATATAAATAAACCTGCACTAATGCAAAATCTGTTGCACAATCAAAGCTGTACACAGTTCAGTTGGGCTGCTCTGGTATTCTTACTCAGCATACAAGAGCACTGAAATAATATCAAAAGCTATACAGAAAGAAGGACAAGAGAACACGACCGAAAAACAAAAGCATCCTCTGTAATTACTAGAGCTTTTTGTCATTTTATCGGCACAGACAAACAAAGAACCCCAGCCAGAATATTATTGAAGTTTACCCTCCCATGACTAAGTTTGAAGGACAGGATTAAATAACTACCTTTTCCCTTCTGGGGCTTGGGTAGTGAGAAAACCATAGTTTTTTTTTTCTAAATTGTTGAGAGTAGGACACAGAAAATAGTGTTTTTCCTCCTTACAGGAAGAGGTGAATTTGAAGGACCAAAAATATTTATGCAATCTAGACAGGCACTTAATTTTTATTGCAGTATGATTATTTTGGTGAATAAAATCATTCTCGCAGATAAGCACTCAGAGCACTAGCCTTCCCCTAACTCAAGACAACAGTACTGCACAGGGTTTTTGATTAAAAAATAACCCAAATGACCAAAAATGCTTACCTCTTCATTGATATACCAATATAGAGAGGTATCTTTCAGAACAAACCAATATTTCTTCCATTTCTGGGAGAAATAGCTCTTAGCATCTTTCTTTTTCCAAAGCCAGCCTTCACAGTCCCCTCGGCCAAGATCCTTACATGAGATCCGCCTTTTGCTTTTACCAGGAATAGGAGCTAAAAATGACAAAGAGTTGATGTGAAAGAGCTTGATTTGTGCACTAAAATCAACAAACCAGTTAGCCGTAAAGTACTATGTATATGCTTAGGAATATTAATTAAACATTTTGACCTCAATTTGCCGTTATTAAATTATTACAAACCTTTTATTTGGGCCATGAGGGCTATGCAAGGCACCATAAATTAAAAACAAAAAACAGAACAAACCATGTTCAGCACCTCACAGAGCTCATATTCTATGGATGAGACAAAATAAAATAGACAAAAGCAACAAGCAAAGAGAAGAGGTTAGACAGAAAGGAAAGGCAAGATATTTAAAAATAAGAAAAATGGTTATTTAACATTTCAACAAATTAATATTTCACATCAGATTAAAGCATATAGCACATAAACTCGTCTACTATCATACTGGGCTGCTTTTTTTATATTTTGGTCAAGTACATCTATGTAAGAACTTGATAGATACTCAAAAATCTCTCTGTGCAGCTCCTTGTACAAATAAACAGTCCTTAAAGCCTTTATACTTCTAAATCAAAGGAAGACAGTCTACTATTGTATGAATTACTAGGCAATCTAGATATTTAGTAAAAGCAAGGGCTGCAGTAAGGCACTATAGGGACACA